AGAAGCTCTAGCTACAGAAATTGGTATAGTTAACAGAATATGTAACGAAATGGTAAGATAAGTTCTATTCTGTTTACGTCTTTACGTGTTAAATCTTCTTAGAGTTTTTTACATAAATTGGTCTGGATTACAGTACTTATTCCATATTCCATACAAATTTTAAAACGTCAGAAGGAGAGACTAAAGCTGATATCTTTAATTTGTACATATTACGTTCCAATTCTGTAGAAGGAAAAAGTTCAACCGCATTGCAAACGCAGTAAAACGATAGAAAGGTGTTTTTGTATTGAAAGTACCTTAAGAAAAACATTTTGATTCTTAGTCACCAAAGAGTACGTCGTATATGGTGCGCCACCCTGTATAATAGAGCTCACAAACCGACGATTGCATTAAATGTGAAAATTGTTAAATTTACAGTAACATTTATACTATTTTTAAATCTTCTGATGTGTTTTATAAAATGACAGAATCCTAAGATATATCAGATTTTTTTATAGAAACAATAAAATCCAATAATCGAAATAAATGTATATTTCCAGTTTAAAAATGTATACTTTTGTGGAATTGTATAAAATTTGTAATAAATAATTTTATTATAAAAACTCTATCAGATATTGTTTAAAGGACCCCGCAGAGTAAAGAGAAGATGAATCCAAATTGGGTGTATTTTTTTTTAATTGCATTGTATCAAAATAAGAGTATTATTTTCATCTAAATCAGTGGCAAGCCAAAATCTTTAGGAAGCACAAACGAACGCACCTCTTCTCCCATTTTAGTCTTCTGACTGCAAAAATAGGCACATCGTCTTTTTTACTTGCTATTTGTAGTTGGTTACAGGGGAAGGGATAAACTACGTGTACTATGTCCCAGTAGTGGCTTATCGATGGATTTTTTCTTTTTGCTGGCAATGATATATATGCTTCTAGACGTCAATAACAATAAATAAATCTCATTGCAAGCATTTTCTGTCGTCTAGTTTTGATACTTCCGGTGTAGATATTTCTGCTACGTGACCAGTTATTTACCCTTTTCAACAATATTCAAGATATAGCTCAAACGCGTTTTTTCTGAATCTAAGATGATACTGCTAACATTATTTTATGTTGGTGAAAGGTTTCATATATAAAAAACTGTAACTTGGAGAAAAGTGAACCGTTTTTTAAAATAGGTATAAAACTGGAACCAAGAGTCGAAAAGTGGTTTATTTGCTTTATTTTTGTATGGATTTTAAATAATAGTATTTCTCTATTAAACATTTTTTATTTTTAGTTCTACCTCATTCAGCCTTTCTTATGTTTTGTTTCTATAACGGCGACTATTTCGACAAAAAATATAAGGCTGAAAACCACTGAATAAAAAATGCTTGCTTATTTGAGAGTCGTACAAACATTTTAAGAGCAACTAAAATCTTTTTAAACTTAAGTTCCAATTTTACACCTATTTTAAAAAACAATCAATTTTTGACAGGTTCAATATCTTTTTGCATATCGACCTCTTCACCGACACGAAAAAATGCTTGCAATATCATCTTAGCTCAAGAAAAAGAAAAGCGTTTAAGCTATATCCACAATTTCGCTGAAAAATGTACCTATGTGGTCACGTGACTGAAATTCCTACAACAGAAGTAGCAAAACCGGACCAAAGAAAATGTTTGAAATGGGATTTTTTTTTTAATTTTTATTGGTGTCTAGAAACATATATTTCATTGCTAGCAAAAATGAAAAAATCCATCGATAAGCTTCTTTATTTTGAATTTGACAGGTTACACGACTGCTCCCACCACCGGAACACAGTACTTGTTGTTCACCTCTTTTCCCTGTAGCCAACTAAAAAAGCAAGCAAAAAGAAGACGTGTTACTCTTTGCAGTTATATGAGGTATTACTCATCTTACAGAGGTAAATTAGATTGGAAAAATTAAACTTTCTGCTGCATATGTGTTTAGTGACTCAATCTTATACGTTAGCAGTAGATACTGGATAACAAGCTGGTTCTTAGTAACCTATATTTAATGAGTCTAATTTTTTATAACCAAGATACAGGGTGATTTGTATATTTTGCCCATTTATTCAACTATTCATGACTAACAAACCAAACTGTATATTTTTTCGATTTTGCTGCATGTATTCTTTCTCCAGTATGGTGCCGAATAGCGTATAAATAAAAGGCCCAGACTTAAAAAAAAATAAACAAATTTTATTGACTTCAAAGTAGGTAGTACCCTGTATATCAGAATTTTTAAAATTTGTTTGCCTATTTGAAAAGAGTAGGAAAATATTTACACTAAATGTCTTTGATATTTCCGCGTACAATTTTTTACTTATTAATTTAAGTCAAATCTAAATGTTTCGATAATAGGGGATTATAAAAGAATGATAAATCTTGACTTTTAATTATTAACTTTTTCAATTGTTGTTAATAAAATCATAATTTTTATATTCCCCTAATTTGTAGTCCACAGGTCCGTATTTGACACAAAATATTATTTTTTTCACCAATTTACAACCGAAATTATGAAAATATTTGTTAAATATTTTAAATATTAAACAATAAACAAAGAAAACATTCACATTTCAAAAAAACAACTTTAATTTTAAAACACTTTAACCCTCTGCAAACATTCTACAAAATATTAAGTATGTGTTAAAAGAACTAGAAACAAAAACTGAATAAAACTTTAAAATGGAATAAAAATAAGTTAAATTAAATACCTGTACTATAACAATTAATCAAAAAGATTAATAAAAAAAGACAAAATCTCTATCACATAATAATATAATTATTATTATATTTGTTACAGATTTTGTTTTTGTTAATAATTCTTTTGAGTAATTTGACCATATTCGAGAAAATGGATAATCTTTCTTGAACTATAACAATTGCTCAAATTGGCCACCATTGTGCGCAATACATTTTTGTGCTCTTTAAGAAATATTTTTAATTAATCTTCAATTACTACAAATTGATTATCAAACCTAATGTGTATTATTTACTGAAATAAACAATACACAATAGTAATTAATATTATCATTATTTTATTATTACTATAAGTAATAAGAATGCATCTGAAGATTCAAAAAATGATCAAGCTCTGATTGAAATATTAAGTAAACACGGATAAGGAATTTCTAGTGTTTGGGTTTTCGCTACTTTTAAAATGTAGAATTATTTCAGCCTTTTCCGGGATGTGAACGTTTTCTCTTTTTAAAATTTAATATATTTAATAAATAATTTCGTTATACATGTAATCCACAAATTAAAAGAATATAAAAAGATTGACGATTTTATTAGTTACAACTGAAAAAGTTAATTAGGAAATATTTTTTTTTAATTTTATATATTTTAATGAGTAACAAAATTGTATGCGTAAATATTAAAGACTTTTAGTGTAACCTTATTTTTTCTGCTCTTTTTCAATACGTTAATAAATTTTTAAACTTCTGATATACAGTATTGTTTTGAAGTAAATCAATTTTGTATTTTTTTTTTCAGGATCTGGATTTAAAGTATACAGCGTGATTCATAACTATTGGGACATAGGCTAAGGGAAGGTTATTTGTAATAAAATATTGCTGTGGAATAAGATACAGGTTGTTAAAGTTGAATTTTTTTTTCGTTTTTTTTTTTTTGATAATGTCACTATATTTATGAATTGTTAAAAAAAACGGCACAAAGGCATATATTTGGACAAGGAATTATATTTTATGTATAATTTCGAATTTTGTCACAGAGGGCGCCACGTGAATGATTCCTGATAATGAAGTTAAGTAGTAGCTTTTTTTGATGAAAGTTTTTGTGTTTTGGATTAGAAAATATGATGTTAACATAATTTCTACGTAATATTGGTACTTTTATTTAAATACGATAATTTCACCAGTTTTCGAGAAAAACGCAATCGAACAGTTCCCAAATCTCAGATGGGGATTTAAAAAATATTTTTTTTATGAAAAGTGTGCTTTACAGTGTCAGATAATTGTGTCTGGTACATGTCATTTCTTGTCAGTAAATTATTTTTGCTGTGAGATTATTATTATTATTATTATTATTATTATTATTATTATTATTATTATTATTATCAATATTATTATTATTATTTAACGCCCTGTATCTTATTCCACAACAATATTTTATCGAGGAATATTTGGCCCTATAGCCATAGTTTAATTCAAATAACCTGCCCTTAGCCTATGTGTCAATAGTTATGAATCACCCTGTATGTATACGCTACTCGGTCTCATACTCATAACTCGTAAGCTGTAATTTATTACCAGATTATTATAAGCAGTTACATATTAAACTATTTAAACAGCAAATCTTTAATTTCCTACTAAATCATTATTTTACTTTCTGGAAGAGTACTGTGAATATGCTGCAGCTTGTATATGTGAGCCAGGTAGTTTCTGAATATAGAAAATATTTTATTTTGCAATATAAACAATAAAAACTACCTACTTCTTATTAATGCCTTCTCCATGAACTTGTTCTACCTCTCCTACTCCTTCTTCTGCCCTCTCTGCTTCCTTTTCTCAATAAGCTGCTCGCACTTTTATGGTCTTTGGCTGTTTAGTATATGACCGAATAGATATATGTTATTTATTTTCTTTACTGCTCCATTAGCAAAAGCTTTTTCCAATACACTGGTTAAAAAATTAACTTTGAGGCCAAAAATGTTGATTTTTGATTTTGAGCTTCATTACGAAAGTTTGAATGTTGAACGTTTGTAATAATCAATTTCATTTATACGTGTGTGAGTTGCGTGAATATGTATATATCTTGTATCGTTTTTTTTTATTACTTTCTTATGTAACATGATCATTGGTTTACATAAATAAAGCTATATATCTATGAATAATCGAAGAAATAAGAGAAATTGTAAAATCACCCTGTATATTGGTTATAAGAAAACAGAAACTCATTAAATAAAGGTGGTTATTTAGAACCACATCGATTTCTCCAATTTATGCATATTTCCCAATGAATCACACTCGATAATTAATTCTTGTTATCCACAAGCACAAGGTCCCCTACAAATATATGTGCTTCTTGGATCCATTTTATATTTATGACACTGGCAGTCCTGATCTCCTCTTTCTTGGGACGAAATATGGCTGGAAGGTTCGTCAGATGTATCGTGTTCACTAGTAGATGTTCCGCCAAACTCGTCATTACTACATTTACAGCTTTGAGAAGACTGTTCAGTTGATTTTGAAACGGTACCATCTTCGGAAATAGGACTTTCTACAGTGGAGTTTTCTTCGGTGCCTTCTTCATTACAAATACATGGTTTTAGAGAAACGTCAGTAGAAACTTCTTTGGAAGAGGCTTCCTTAGAAGAGGTTTCGACGGCTGATTTATCTGAAGGTTTGGCAGATTTCTCTTTTATAGCTATACAATTAAGAAGTCCACATAATAGTTCTTCAGCGAGGCAGGTACATTCGTCGTCACAAAGGTCAAAGTATCCACCATATGTCTGTGTACCTTTAATGCAAGGGCCAATACAAACTTCACCCTCACCAGATAAGCCATACTTAGCAGCGAGAGCCTCTTTCTGAAAAGAGGAGTAGAAAAAATTAGTTTATGTAAAAATTTAAAATAAATTGGTTTTTGACGTGCAAGCCATTGCTATAAGACTGGAATTATTCTCACAAGGATCATCATTATAAACAGTAATCCACGAAAAAAATGTTTCTAAAGTATGCCATTACCGACAAAGACAGATATCTCTTATGTCTAGTCTGAGTCATTCCAAGTAGTGACCTCACTCTATCAAAACATTTGTTGATTTAATCTTAATTAAACATTTCTTAGTACTCGTGTATTGATAAACAAGACAATTGTAGGTGTCCAGATAAAAGATCAATAGGAATTTTTACATTTTAAATTAGTTGATCGGTAATAATAATAAGGAAGGTAGTTAAGAAGGTAAACTAAGTTTTTAATTTTGATTTGTTTTTAATAGTCATTATTTTTGAGATACAATAACATCTGGTTAAAACGGCATTAGCATGGTTCTATTAAAGTAATTTTGATGAACTGTTTGGTGGGAACCCTGAAATTGTTCTGGTAGCGGATTATACTAATAAAGGACATAAATAGAATAAACAGGTAAAAAATGCCGACCCCTAGATCAACCGTTTGGAAAAGCTCACTTTCTTGACAAAAATATTTAACGAAAATCTTCCACTTATACTTTCAATACCACAGCCTATTGTAGCACTATGGAAAAGTTGAGTCTTTATTGCAATAATTATTTATCTTATCTGGAGGTTTAGTAATTACTAATAGAGGTAACAAACCAACTTTCGTCACGGCGACCGGAAGTCCTAAATATGACTCTGTGCTCGAGTAAAGCAAGTGATAACATTTGAAAGTGGCATGTGTCTAACAAACCGTCGTGCTTAGACCACAGATAGTTTAGGTTTAATCTAATTAACCAACCAAAATTTTATACAGAAATACAGAAACCCAAGAGAGACGAACTGGGAAGGGTATTCAACATCACTAGGCGAGTATCTCGAAGAGAATATAGTGAAAATAACAGGTAAAAACGGCAGAAAACGTATTGTGCTACTGCGAAGGTCTAGCAAGACTGAGATTCCTTAGACTTGAAGAAGAAAATTTAAGGGCAACTAGCTATACCGGATAACTACTTCTCAGTCTATGGAGTCTACTATAAAAGACCGAATTAGACAAGGTACTCTCAATAACGATCAAAGAATATCCACACTCGATCTAAAAAGGTCGAGGTGAGGGGAGGCCACATGGCCCACAGTCCTATCAGCCAGGACAGTCAACCAATTTGGTACTGAATGATCTTAAGGGGCTATTGTCAAAATTTCTGAAAGGAGCTTTTGATAATGTCCATACAAGATCTATAATTAATACACTATCAACGAAAGGGATACCAGTAGTCCTGTGTCTGTGGGTAAAGCCAGCCTAAAAAATGGGTAATAATATTATATCTAGACAAAGCTACACTATCACCGCTCCTTTAGTCAATCCTAGTGGACGAACTTATAAAAAAATCATATCTGTAAACTTCTACTGCCTAGCCTATGCCAATGACCTGGCGATCGTCGTAAGAGACGAGTTCGCAGTTACAATATCGGAGCGCACACAAACAGCTCTAAACATCGTCGACGAGTGGTACAGAGAGGAGGAACTAACAGTAAACCCCCACAAAACCACAATAGTCAACTTCAAAAAACGAAAGATAATGACAGGATTAAAGTCAGTAGTACTGAAAGGAGTGAAGATTCCGTTTGCCCAAGGGGCCAAATACTTAGGTGTCATCTATGTCCACAGGTTAACATGAAATCAACACTTGCAACACAAAAAAACGTCTTTTAATTTATGTCAATGGGTATGTGGAAAAAATTGGGGACTACAACATATGTCCGTATACCAGAGTCATAAGACCTATGACAACCTACGGGTCAGTAGTATGGTTGCCAAATACTCGGCAAGATTGAGCCCTTCAACAGCTCAACGGTATTCAAAAGCAGGTATGCTTGAGTTTCACGAGAGCTATGAGAACAACTCCAACATTAGCCCTAGATGTCGTGCTAAACTTAACATCAATACAGATAATCATTTAAGACGAAGCCAGGTCATACAGGTCATATATACAGACTGCACAAAGGTCCATCGCCCCTAAGCAGTTTGCATGGACGTGACTACAGCTAGCTATATAAAGAGTTGGAGAACGACCCCAAAATATAGCTTCCAACAGCAATATTAGGTAAGTATGCCAGACAGGAAAGCGTGGACTGAAGGACCTCCTATTCACGCAGAATTCGCCTGGTATACAGAAGGCTCCAAAACTCATGAAGGTTCTAAAACAGTTATATATAATACCACGCCAAAGACAAGAATCTCACTGATCTTAGGTAAACAATCGTCCGAATTACAGGCAGAAATATCAACGATACATCATTGCGCAAAAGAGGTATTAAGACAGATTAAATGGAATATATTCTTATATACTCAGAGAGACACTTGCGTAGGGCTGTTTGGAAGCCCCAACAAAGCTGGGTAGTCAAAACAGACTAAATTTAGCCTGGGTACCAGGCCACATAGAGGACAAACGGTAATGAAGAGGCTGATTTACTAGAACGAGAAGAAGCCTCAAAGGCTCTTACTGGCCCAGATTCCTTCTGAAGTGTTACAAAGACTTCTATCAGAACATGCACAGAGCAGTGGATGTTTGAAAATTTCAGGAATAGTGAAAAAATTTACCCGGGCAGAGACAGGCGAAGCAACATTAAGGGAGGAGCGCGAGAGCCTTGAAATATTAATAACAAATTTTATGTTCAGTTTGACCACTTCTTTATTTTAAAAACAGGGGCGTCGTAGAAAAAAGTTTACTCATCTACTGTACTGAAATTGACAACATAATTCTCAACTCTACTTATTTTAAAACAACTACGGTACGGAACACAATTATTGCACAAGTACGACTTGCACTTTGCCAAATTATTTTAATCTAATTTTAAAAAGTAGTAGCTATTATTATTGAATGTGTTAAAAAATACAACAAAGAAAATATCATCAGTTACCTCTTGATTCATTTTCTCCATTTGTTCGGCAGTTAATAAAGCGTCACATATTTTTATTAATTCTTCAAAATATTCTATTTTCTTTTCTAATTTCTTTATCCGTTTATTCTTGCAATCCAACAAAATTTGAATCTTAACTTCTGTTGGCAAAATGGCTCCCTCAGGACATTTTCCCTAAAAAATAGCGAATTATTTCATTGCTTTGGGTACATTACAAGAGTTTAGATTTTAAATTAGCACCTTTACATGAAATTATTAGTGCAGATAATCTTAGACACTATAGTTAAATTTATAAACAGGGTAGTCTGTAGTTAATGGTCCCTATAGTAATAGTATATTAATTATTATCTTGGTTTTAAAATATTACGATCTGACTCAATGATATACTAAATAATAAAAAAGTTGCAGGATCTCGAAGTTGAACTATCTTTTTTTTTTTGTTAATGTTCCATGTTTGTTTTATTTTGAAACACTTTTCACGACTCTGAATTGCTTGTTATTTTTTTTTTTTTTTCAAAAGATTAAATGAATTTTATATAATAATGACGTTTACATCATATAATATTGTTTAGTCAAAATGACTAAAAGGTCCCGTCGAAAAATTATGATCTAATTTTATTATCTTATTATTCCTTGCTAAAAACAATAACCCTCTGCCATATTTGGCAACATTTTATTAACAGATTATGAAATTATTACCAAAAGGAGAAATAATTTTTTTAATTTTCCGTAGTGTAAAGAAAGTTGGATCAGATTTTAATATTTCGAAGTCAACACTGCCATTACGTTATGGGCCACGCATTTATTTGATAATGGGGTCATATATAGCTACTGGAAAACCAACCCTTAAAAAAGTAATAACGCGCCACGGTAATAGAATCCGATTACAATAAGAAGAACACCGCTACGTCATAACCAATACACCGAATTTCGAATACATATTATTTATAACTATAAATAAATAAAGAATAAGTAAGTTGTTAGGTAACAAAATATATTTGCTATATTCCTATAATATTAAGATTCCACTAAACTCCCAGTAGGCGGTGATAGCCAATTAATTACTCTGCCAAATGATGATGTAGCTGCGTTCATCTTATTGTAATGGGACCATACCTCAAAGGTGATGTGGAAATGTACCAAGAACAATTGATCTCACCTCATAAGAAATATTTGAAAATAATTTTTATATTAAAATAAAATGCATATTTATTTTGTCGTATATCTGTAAAACATTAAAATTGTCCGCCACTGGAAATATTTCCTCTTACCCCGTAAGCTCCCATGATACTATAAAAAGAAGGTATGATATTACGCAAATTACGTCACGGTGACGTATCGCATTTGACGTATCAGCTGATCGAAAACAACCCGCGAATGTAAATTTAAATCGGCTCATGGCCAATCAGATAACCATATCTCACACCACAATACGAACTCGACGAGATTTCGTCGGCTAAGTATCATATTTTTTTTTTGTATCATGTAAGCTCCAAAAATCTCTACAAATTTTAGAGCGATAACAGGGGGTCAATTCTCGACTCGTAGGAATTTTTTCCTATAGAAATTTTTGACATTTTTCTATACATTGGAAATTTATTACATTTTCCTACATATAGGAAAGTGTCACAAATTCCTATAGAAACAGTTTCCTACAAGTCGAGAATCGATGTCAGTATACATTTTTCCGAGCAATTACTAGAGGGAGCGTGAAGCGAGTTTGCAGGCGATTGTCGTGTTCGCAACATCTATATAGAGGAAGTGAGGAAGCGGGCACAAGGAGAAAGGTAAACACACACTCTCTGGTTCAGTGGCGTATCATTTCTCTGTAAGATCACACATTGTCCAAACATTTTAATTTTCAAAAAATTAAAAATTTGCTAATTTTACTATTTTAAAAATGTATACTGGAGTCTTGTTAGGAAAATCGCCGAGACAGGTCGATTTTTGTTTTCTACAATGTACATTTTTGTATGATTAGTTTACCCTTAATTTCATCCCTTACTCGATGGGAACAACCCTTTCGAAAAATTTAAATGGCATCGGGTGGTGAATGATAGCTCATTTGAAAGGGGGTTTTATTCTCTATTCAACCGTGCAAAAAAAATTTAAATTTGCTTCATTACGTGTTGATTTATTAATGTTTAAAAATAACAAAATCTCACAAAATAGGAAAGCAACTAAACTAATAGTGACCTTCTAATGACAAAAAGTCTTACTTCACGTCTGAACCAAAACCAAAATCATGCAGGGCCGAATTTTAATTCTAAGGATGAGTGTGCTATGTTAATTTCCGTTATTCTGAAACAAAAATTAGTCGAGAATTAATGAAGCAAATTTCAAAATTTTTTACATGGTTGAATAGAGAATAAAACCCTCTTTCAAATGAGCTATCACTCACCACCCCATGCCATTTAAATTTTTCGAAAGGGTTGCTCCCCTCGAGTAAGGGATGAAATTAAGGGTAAACTAATCGTACAAAAATGTACATTGTAGAAAACAAAAATCGACCTGTCTCGGCGATTTTCCTAACAAGACTCCAGTAACGAGTTAGTTAAGGGGGGTAAGACTTAAGATTCTCAATGTATGTCTAATGCAGAAAATAAATCAAAATCACTGTAAAGGTCTAATTTTTTCAATTAAAGAACAAAACCTCTAAATTAATTCCACATCAATTTCAATATAATTAAATACAGGAACGACTATTTTCAGCCTTACAGGGTCATCTTCAGGCCTGTAATACAATAATCTTTAATTATAATAGTAATAATTATAAGAGTAGGTTGGTCACTTACAATTTAAATTAAATAGTTGACAGTAAATATAACTCTAAAATATATCCATATTGTATCGTTACAGTCTTGCAGAATTAAAGATATAGAAATGGAAAAATAGATAATCAGTGCAAACTTAACTAAAAAGAAGAAAAATGAGTATTAAATCTACGAGAGTAGAGATGAGAATGAGCAATTAAGAATGCATTTAAATTGCTCGGGATAACAAATAAGGTTGATAATGTAAAGTGGATGGTATGTGGATAGTCCCCATCAAAGAAGGTCCGGATAAGTGAAAGAGGGACCCTTTCGTCTATAAATCTTGAGAATGTAAGGATGGAGGGAAGATGAATCTTGCTGGCTCAGGTGTAGATAGGTTAAAAAAAGGAGAAGACAGATGAGAGTTCCAGAAAATATCGTCACTTTCTTCTAATTTTTTATTCTTTATCACCTTTTCGGCTTTAGCTTCGAAATCCATTTTTAAAAGAAAACAAAAGTAATAATTTATGCAAGCATATAATAAAACAACGTTAATTCATTATATTTAATAAACTAATAAACGTTTGTTTCAATAAAAAACATATATGTGAATATAAAAAAATAGAAATAGATAAGATTAATATCAAAAGCAATTTAAAAACACAAATAGATAAAATGAAATAAATTAATACATATACAAATAAACCTAATGAAAGTTGTTAATATTACTTCTGAAAGTAATATATTTTTAAAGAGTTAACGGTCCCTAAACATAACTAATCTTCTTAATATTATGAGGGTTTTTGTAGTTGAAATGAAAATTGTAATTTATTTTTAGTCCTAATAAAAACTTAAACATCAAAGAAGAAAATACATATAAAACTTCATAACCTTAAAGGTTTATCAAAAATTATGAATGGTAAAACTTTAAACAACAATTAGATTCTTAAACAAATTTCTTTTCTTTTTTTTGTTTTGTTTTGCAAAATATTTTTTTTGCCTTCTTCTGTTGCCTTTGCCACTTTTCTTTTAGGAGTTTCGAGAAGAATTTTACTATGGAAATCATGAGAACCATCAACTGATTGGTAACATTCTTATATTTTAGGTCTGGTAAAGTTTCCTCTTACATAGCTGTAACCTTTTGAAGAATAAAAATTTAATGTTAGAGCAACAGCTCTTAATTTAGAATTATATTTGTGTGAAGGCCGTTTCAATATTTTCAAAAGTTTTTGGAATCGTTGTTAACAGAAACCTGTAAAAAAATATATATTAATACATTCCTAAAATATAAGATATCACAGAATGCATATTCATATATTATCATTGTGCTAGAACAATATTAGGTAGGTACAGGGACAAATTAAAAAAGTAATTCCGAGAAAATCAACTTTTAATGTCATCATTGTACCTACTTAACTTTTTTATTGCTTAAATTATTAATGTGATGTTTGTTTATTTTTAAACAACAGTTTATTTGTAAATAATTTATTTAAACACTTATTTATTTTAAACAATACTATTCTAATTTATATATATTTCGAATGTCTTTGAATCGTTCACTATTTATGTTTACCACTGTCTATCTACTAATTACTATTTATCTTCACTGTCCATGTAATAACTAACTCTGCATGGTCCTCCACCAATATATATATATATATATATATATATATATATATATATATATATATATATATATATATATATATATATATATATATATATATATATATAAATTTAAAAAATTGGCGAATGTGCTAGAAAGTTCACATATTCTCACCAATACACTAGAATCATTATCTCGTTCTTTCCCGAATAGTCATCAAAAGCACCTCCGCCATAGTCGTCACATATGTTTGGTCTTAATATAATAATAATAATACTCTCCCTAATTCACCCCCTTACGAGTGAATTTCAACCCCTGAAGTCGACTGAACGACTTGTGTAGGGGAAGGGACGGCTATTATTATTATTTGCCGTGGCGCAAGATGATTGATGGTGCCATTTGACTTACAGGTGAGGAAAACCCGGAAAACCTCACCCACCATCATCGAGACGGTAATGTATGGCGAATTTTTTTAATCTGCATGTCATATCAACAGAAATTGAATTTCTATTAATACGCCACACATCAAATCCTAAACCGAACCATGCAATTTAATTAAAAATCCACATGGTCCGGTCTGGGATTCGAAACCCAGCAGTCTCAGACTCATAAACTTGCCTATAAATGAATATAAGCGCGATAGACCGCTACACCACCGTCCCGTAAGGGGTTTAATTATGTATAATAATCGGACAAGTTGAGCCTCAAAGACAAGAGAGGATTAGAGCATGTCTGAATAATGAAATGGCTCACATAACATTAATAATGTCATTTTGTGTAGTTCGTTGTGATTTGTATAATATATATTATAAACA